ATCTGCCCTATCCCGATAGGCCGGCTGCCGAGAGAATGTTCGGGCAGCAGCAACAGCAAGCATACCAGCAGCTCCAACAGGCTGAACTTCCCTACCCTGACCGCGAACGCAACAGCCATACCCGCCAAGATTCCCTCGTAGCCCCACTCCCGGAACGAGCCTCGACTCCCCAGTCAGCAACATCCACGGGCACCCCTCAACCCACTCGACATGTGTCTGTCGTACATGCTGATGCCTACCCTACCCCGCCGCCCTTCAGACAGCGCGAAGGACGTCCTCAGCGTCTTCCAAGGCAAAACTCTCGTCCCGAATCCCCACCCCCCAATCCTCCCCCCGCAGGTGAAGGTAGTCCGCCCTCTCCCGATCCAATGAACCCCTTTCCTCAATTTCACCAGCAGTATTGGCCTACCCCAAGCAGAATGACGTCGACATCAACTACGGCGGCGCGCAGAGGATCTCCCCCACCACCCGAAACTCCCGCTACCGCTACTATTGAACAGCCGCTGGTAACTCTCCCCGCCAACGCCGCTGACCAGAGGCGTGGTGGCGCCCGTGGGCAGGGTAGCACGGGCCGATCTCGTACCCCACCACAGGCACAGGCACCCACCCCCCCGGCACAAACCCAGCAAGCTCCTGTAGAAGCCCCTGTAGAAGCTCCTGCGAGACCCTGGACCCCCACCGAGGCTCCGGGATCTTATCCGCATGGGCCTCCGACCGTCTGGCAAGGCACCGGCGGACAAGAAGTCCCCGCGCAGACTGGAGGAGGGCGGCCTAGTGCTCCCCAAAATTCCGTAAGTGTGAATGCGCAAGCCCAGCAGGCATTGGAACAGGACTTCCAGCGCATGAATATGAGTGCGAGCCCACCACCGTCATACGCAAGTTTGAGCCATGCCGGAAGTGGCCCTTCAAATGGAACAACTGCTCAAGGGTATCCGAACGAGAAACACACTGTAGTAGTCGGCGCAGCTGTTCCACAAGAGCTTCCGCACAATAGCCATACAGCTCACCCGGCATTCCATAACGATCCCCCTCGGGAACAACTCCAGCAGACACAGCAGCCGGCCCAACCCCAACCTCAGCAGCAACAGCAACAGCAACAGCAACAGCAACAGCAACAGCAACAACGGCAACAAGAGCAACAAGAGCTGCAACAGCAACAACAGCCTCAGCCTCACCCCCAAGAACACTCCCAGAGCCCCCATCCGTCGTTTACTCAAGAGCAGCCTCACTTCACCCCTCCGCCTGGAGTTGGCCCTTCATCTCCTCCTCCGCTTCCGGAGGGGTGGATGGCCCATCTGGATCCAAACTCGGGGCAGTATTACTATATTCATATTCCCACTTCTAGAACCCAATGGGAACCTCCTCTTCCCGAGCCAGCTTTTATTCCCCCTCCCGTAGCATCGCCGGCATTGCCGACGTCTACCTATCCTAATGCTGCGCCCTTAGCTTCGCCCGGGTTTCCCCCCCCTATGACAGCTTATACCGATCCGAGTATGAGTGGGATGACATCGCCTCCCCCTTTAGTGCATAGTAATAGCTTCCCTGTGCAGCCGCCGCCTATTCCACAGTTGCCGTTGGCTGGGATAGCATTATACAATGTCGCGCCTGCGAATGGCGAATATTTCGGGCCGTACCTGCGGTATACTAACATGGATATTGAACGTGGGATATGGCTAGGGTCGATCATGATCATCACAGCAAACCCACAGCCCCCAACTGTCCATCTTCACCAAAGTATAGATCTTTCACCAAATCCTCGTCAATTGAAGGCCAATCCCATATACACTCACAAAACATGGACCTTCTATCGATATGATATCGATATCCAAATGGGAGATATGGGGGCCAAATGGACTTATGCCATCACCTCACATCTAGGATGCACAAGATACGAGTTCCTCGTCGCTGGAAGGACCGATCGTAATTGGAGATTTATTGCGCATAGTTGTAACGATTTTTCATTGAGCGTAAAGGCTGAGGAGCGGGCAAAGTTAGGAGGTGTTGGGTTTATGTGGAAAGATGTTATGCAAAAACATATCGAAACCGGAGGGTTCCACGTCCAAATGGCAGGGGGTGATCAGATTTACGCAGATAGGCTCTGGAGAGAGATCCCGCTACTAAAGGTTTGCGCGATTGCCCGTCTATAGCTCGACAATCTAACAGTTATATCTAGGAATGGCTCGAGATCAAGGGGAAAGAAAATAGGAAAGCAGCACCTTGGACGGCCGCGCATGAAGAAGAAGTCACACATGCTTATTTCCATTACTATTCGGCACACTTTGATCAGCCGCACTTGAGGGAAGCTTGGGCTCAAATACCACATATGTGCCAGATTGATGATCATGATATGTATAGCATCCTTCTTTTCCAGTGGCACGGCATGCAGCTCTGACTCTTTATGATATAGATTTGACGGATTCGGTTCATACCCGGAGTATATGCAATTCTCGTCCATGTTCAAAAACATCGGTCGTGTGGCCGTGCACTGGTACCTACTCTTCCAGCACCATTCAACCTTAGACATCCTTCGCGCTTCCTCTGACGAGCGAGACCTCTTCACGGTAACCGGCACCGGCTGGCACTTTGTCAAATATCTCGGTCCCGCCATCGCTGTCGTTGGTATAGACTGCCGGTCAGAGCGAAATCCCCAACAAGTCATGGCCGGCCCAACTTACCAAGGGATTTTCCCACGAATCGCTACCCTCCCACCCTCAATCCAGCACTGCATATTAATGCTCTCGGTACCAGTAATATACCCACGTCTGGATACTGCGGAATCTGTCGTCAACACCGTAGCGACGGGAAAAAAGGCTGTGACGGGGACGTATAATCTGCTCGGGAAGGTTGTGGGGTCGGCGGCAGGGATTGTGGGTGGGAAGGAGGTTGTGGGTACCGGGTTTCAGAGCGTTAAGAAGGCCTTTGGAAAGAGTGGATTGATGAGTTCTGTTGTTAGCGTTTTTGGGGAGGTCGATCTCTTGGATGATTTGAGGGATCATTGGACACATGAGTCAAAAGTACGGGAGCGCTACATTTCCCTATTACGAGAGCGATAGGTGGTGCTAATGGATCGTTACAGGATCTCGAAAGGACTTACCTCATCAGAACCCTCCAAGGAATCTCTCATAGCAAGGGCATACGAATGACATTCCTGAG